GCTGTCACAGTGAAGAAGGAATTGGCTTTTTCTCCAAAGCACCAGAATTTCCAGGATTCATATGTCATATATATATATATATGTTTTCTGAGGTTCTTGCGGGTATTTGTATGTGGATCTTCGGTTATTTGGGTTTTCTCCCACGTAAAATTGGAAGTATCTAGGCAACGTTTCGATGAAGTCTCATTCATCATCTTCAGGCTTGTGTCTTCGGCTCTGTGCTTCTCAGAGTAATGCTTCTTACTCTGAGAAGCACAGAGCCGAAGACACAAGCCTGAAGATGATGAATAAGACTTCATCGAAACGTTGCCTAGATGCTTCCAATTTTACGCGGGAGAAAACCCGAATAACCAAAGATAGATAGATAGATAGATAGATAGATAGATAGATAGATAGATAGATAGATAGATATGGATATGTGTGTGTGTGTGTGTGTGTGTGTGTATAACTTGCACTGTACTAATTCTGTTCAATTTCTTCTTACTTTTGCAAAATTATGCAATTTTCTGGCTTAAAGTCATTTGATACAAATACAGCAAAGGGAAGAAAGAAATGAAAAGTACACTGCTCAAAAAAATAAAGGGAACACTTAAACAACACAATGGAACTCCAAATAAATCACACTTCTGTGAAATCAAACTGTCCACTTAGGGAGCAACACTGATTGACAATCAAATTCACATGCTGTTGTGCAAATGGAATAGACAACAGATGGAAAGCAGAGGCAGTTAGCAAGACATCCCCAATAAAGGAGTGGTTCTGCAGGTGGTGACCACAGACCACTTCTCAGTTCCTATGCTTTCTGGCTGATGGTTTGGTCACTTTTGAATGCTGGTGGTGCTTTCACTCTAGTGGTAGCAGGAGACGGAGTCTACAACCCACACAAGTGGCTCAGGTAGTGCAGTTCATCCAGGATGGCACATCAATGCGAGCTGTGGCAAGAAGGTTTGCTGTGTCTGTCAGCGTAGTGTCCAGAGCATGGAGGCGCCACCAGGAGACAGGCCAGTACATCAGGAGACATGGAGGAGGCCGTAGGAGGGCAACAACCCAGCATCAGGACCGCTACCTCCGCCTTTGTGCAAGGACGGACAGGAGGAGCACTGCCAGAGCCCTGCAAAATGACCTCCTGTGGGCCACAAGTGTGCATGTGGCTGCTCAAATGGTCAGAAACAGACTCCATGAGGGTGGTATGAGGGCCCGACATCCACAGGTGGGGGTTGTGCTTACAGCCCAACACCATGCAGGACGTTTGGCATTTGCCAGAGAACACCAAGATTAGCAAATTCGCCACTGGCGCCCTGTGCTCTTCACAGATGAAAGCAGGTTCACACTGAGCACGTGACAGACATGACAGGGTCTGGAGACACCGTGAAGAATGTTCTCCTTCCTGCAACATCCTCCAGCATGACCGGTTTGGCAGTGGGTCAGTAATGGTGTGGGGTGGCATTTTTTTAGGGGGCCACACACCCCTCCATGTGCTCGCCAGAAGTAGCCTGACTGCCATTAGGTACCGAGATCCTCAGACCCCTTGTGAGACCATATGCTGGTGCGGTTGGCCCTGGGTTCCTCCTAATGCAAGACGCTAGACCTCATGTGGCTGGAGTGTGTCAGCAGTTCCTGCAAGACGAAGGCATTGATGCTATGGACTGGCCCGCCTGTTCCCCAGACCTGAATCCAATTGAGCACATCTGGGACATCATGTCTCGCTCCATCCACCAACGCCACGTTGCACCACAGACTGTCCAGGAGTTGGGAGGAGATCTCTCAGGAGACCATTCGCCACCTCATCAGGAGCATGCCCAGGCGTTGTAGGGAGGTCATACAGTCACGTGGAGGCCAAACACACTACTGAGCCTCATTTTGACTTGTTTTAAGGACATTACATCAAAGTTGGATCAGCCTGTAGTGTTTTTTTCCACCTTAATTTTGAGTGTCACTCCAAATCCAGACCTCCCTGGGTTGCTAAATTTGATTTCCATTGATAATTTTTGTGTGATTTTGTTGTCAGCACATTCAACTATGTAATGAACAAAGTATTTAAGAAGAATATTTCATTCATTTAGATCTAGGATGTCTTATTTTTGTGTTCCCTTTATTTTTTTGAGCAGTGTATAATGGAATACAAATATTCATGTCCCATCAGTCACAAATTTGTGAAAGATGTTATATAATATGATCTAAAATAATATCTAATTCTCTGCATCATTAAACATACTATTTTTATTACCATGTGCTATCATTGATTTTTCCTCATTTCAGTGCCTCTGAAAATCAGCTATCCATGAAGGACTAAGAACATTGCAATGAAAAAGTTACTTATGTAGTTTTTCCTCCCATAATAGATGTGTTGCACAGCATGAACTGTGTGGTATCATCAGAAGTCCTATGTGGCCTCTGGATACCTAGAAACATTGTTTCCAAACTTGATAGTACATTTCATTTTAATATAAATTGTAAATGAAATGAAATGAGTCTTCAATTTCTCTACCCATTTTTTTCATATTATGGTGGTAGCATAACTCCCAAAGGACAAATATGTTTCTTAGTCTGGTTATGTGCCTCTCAGGTATGACATGGAACAACAAGCCCTAATTAATAAACATACTGGCACTAGTGAAGTGGAGTAAGCATGTCTAGTTATTCAGAAATATTAGGAACTATAAGAGTAATGTGCGTTTGTTAAAAATAGAATTATACAGGATCTACTCAGGACTGAAAAACATAAGGACTGAATTAAATTAAATGTTGCCCTATGACATTGATGTTATTATTAAACTTAACTGGCAAATAAAATACACCAAGGCAAAATAATTTTTCTGGTATCGAAATTCTGTACATGCTTTCTGTGTAATTTTTTTTATTGAGCTCAAACATTACCATAATGCATTTAAAGTCTCTATATACATATATTTGATTTATAAGTCCTCATATTTTCCAATATCTGTGCTATGTTAATACTGTTAAGCAAAGATTATACACATTTTAATCTAAACTGTTAAAATTACTTAACTTGAGAAAACATTTATTGCTATTATAGAGAACAGGGTATATACAGGATGTGCTTCCTATAAAATGTGTGCCTCCTAAACTTAAAATGCTGTTTGAATATAGATTTTAGATTTGATTATTTAAAATATTACAAATTTATAGACAGTGCTAGCAGTGACTAGCATCTTTTGTATACTAGTTCTAAAAATTGCCAACACCATACAAATAGGGAAATAACAATCCTACATGTGTTTACTCATATGTCCTACTGAACTCATTGGCATTTATCTAGAAAGGTGCAAATAAAATTGTCATCTAAATGACATAGTTTACCTCTTAGTATCTCCATAATCTTTGGTATTATCACCTGACCAAAGCGTTCTTGTTGATGTTAAGGAACAAATATTGCAATAGTGAGTAATTTCAATGGCCTTCTCATGAACTGGATAAAACATATATTCTTTTCATGGAAAGATATATATTGTAGATAATATTAACAGTTGTGCATTAAAAAAAACTAGACATAGAATAAAGTAGAGGAAATTCTGAATTTAAGTTCATGTAGTACACAGGTGTAAATATTGCTTTATAAGAAGCACAGTGTCAACTAAGTTAATTTATACATAACTTGAAAATTGCCAAGTCAACCATAAAAAAGACATTAGAAGGGGAAAAAAAGCACACCAAGAATTGGGTTTCAACAGGCAGGTATGAAATCCAGATATTCTGGACTATAATTCCATAAATTATGGCTTTTTGGGCTGGGGTTATAAATGTTTTAGTCTAAACAGCTTGTTGACATCCTTAGCAGTAAGTAGACCATAATGTATGGCTGCACTTTCCAATTCCTTATGAAATCATTTAGAAAAATTCACTAAAACAGCTGTGACATTCACCTGGCGCTTGCTATTTACTTAATTAAATAGTTATTTAATTTTTATTCCACCTATTACTTTATAAATAACTCAAGGTGATGAATATACGTATTTCCTCCTCCCATTTTCCCCACAACTGTCCCATGAGGTGAATTAGGCCGAGAGTCACTGGCAAGGTCACCTAGTCAGTTTCATGCCTGAGGTGAACTCGGCCTCCTATCTTCCAGGCCAGTACCTTGTCCACTACACCAAACTGCTCTCTTAAAAAAAGAAGAAAACTGTGGTACATGCTCTGATGTTCATACAGGCCAGGTAGAGCTGTAGAATGCTGAGAAACTGTTGTGAAAGCCGATTCTAAATCTAGGAATTGGGGCAGGTGCAAAGCACACATTATCAAAATCTGACTTCAAAGTTCATTGCTTGGAGGGACGGAATTCTTCAAAGGTAGATTGTCTCTGTCTTGTTACTGCTTCAACTATTCTTTTTTATACAATGAATATATTATCTCAATAAAAATTCCACATAGTATGCAATATCCTTTTTATCTAAAATTTAATACTGGCTTTCAAGTGATTAATAAGCTAAAGTGCTATTATGTTTCTTTAAAAAAGGGAAATAAAAACTCAGAAATATTATAAACACACACACAATATTTTATCTCCAAAATACAATTTAATCCACTCCTGTGGATGTCCCCAAGAAATTTGTCTTGTCTTCTTCTTCAGCACCTTTCTTCTGAAACCAGGCCTTTGTGCCTTTCCCTTGAAGATACGCATCAAGAAAGTAACAGATGCCAGGTATATCACTTGGAAAGTTGGAAGGAAGTTCTTGCCTTGAGCGAGGAATAAACACGAAGCCAGGGTGATCCTTTATCAACCTGCAATGTGAATGAAAACTATCATTACATATTTCAGGTATTACCTGTAGATCTCACCAGCATAGTTAGGAGAATGTAAGGGCTGTCATCAGTACGTACAAAGTAATAGGGCAAGAATTCAAAAGAATGCCATGGGAGAGAAGGAAGGTTTCAGATTATTGTTAACAGTAGTAAGAAACAAGCAGCAAAAGCAAATACTTGACATGGTAAAACTACTATACCTGTAGGTAGTGGGGCTAACATTTATTTTCCTAGGGACACTGCAAGATTCAAACTTGTTGGCAAGTGTTACGTTGTTTCCAAACAGGCAGTAACGGGGCATTTTCACACCAACCACACCAGCAAAAACAGAGCCAGAATGTAGTCCTATACGCATCTTTTATAAGAGAGTAAGAAGAAAAAGATGTTAAAAATCATAACCACATTTAGCAAAAATGAAAATATTATTGAGTTCTACATATTTCTATATGTCAGGATGAATTGTGAGCTCAGCTTGGAAGCTGTATTCAGTGGATTCCAGTGCTTAAATTTAGAGGTTTCTAATGAATATGAATTACTGAGATAATTCAAATCTATAGTGTCGTGTCCGTCGCGGGAAGGAAGCTCGGAGTCAGTGACTTGGTTTCAGCTCTTTATTGGGCTCCGGTTACAGCTTAAGCTTGGAGGGAAAAACTGCGGCTTTTTATTTCTGAGCCGCGGCGGCCGCGGCCAATGGCACCGCTTCGAATCTCCCGCGATTAGTTTCCACCAATCGCGGGGGATTCGTAACGGGCCAATCAGTGCGGCTCGCTCGACCAATCCGGTCGCCCCGCGCTTTAGCCAATCGCGACGCGAGGCTACGAGTATGTAAATTGACTGTACAGAACACCCCTCCCCTCTTGGTTCGGTCCTACGTAACGTAGTCCCGTAGGTAGGCGGGGCTTCGTACTTGCCTACTTGACTTGCGCAGAGTAGTTGTTGTTTGGCTCCCAGCCGGTTCGGTCGGGACCTCTGTTTCTCTTGGCCTTGTCGATGGAACCCCCTGGAAGGTGTCGCTGGGCCTCTTGTTGCAGCTCCCTCCCGATCTACCCGGGTTGGTCGAGCTGCGACTTTCGCCGCTCCTGCCTGGTCTTTCTGGGCTGGTTGAGCTGGCCTGGCTGTTTCTTCCTGGTGAGGCTTCGGGCTGGCTGTTGACTGGTGAGTATTGCTGGTTATTTTCTATTCTTTCTTGATCCCCTGTATCTTCCCTCCCCTCTTGGTTTGTGTTAATGGGGTCGTCTGTGTTTGGTTGCGTGTCGGTTGTGTTTTTTGTTCTTGATCTTAATTGATCGATGTGGCGTTTCCATGTTTGTCCGTCGGTCGTCTGCAGCCGGTAGGAGTGGGGTCCTGTCAGTTGGGTTATAGTTGCCGGTACCCATAGTGGGTCTCCGGTAAGGTTCTTTGCATAGACTGCGTCGCCTGGTGCAAAGACCCGGTGTTTGCTTGATGAGTCTGGGGGTTTTTCCGGGTTGTATGTGGGGTGTAGTCTGTCGAGTGGTGACCTTAGTTTTCTCCCCATCAGTAATTCTGCCGGGCTTTTGTTTGTCGTTGTGTTTGGGGTTATATGTTGTATTAGGAGCATTTTATTTATTTTTTCTTGTATGTCCCCGTGTTCGATTTTTTGGAGGGTTTTCTTTGTAAATTGAACCATCCGTTCTGCCCTACCATTGGCCGCCGGATGCGCCGTCGCTGTCAGTGCGTGTCGTATTCCTCGTTCCGCTAGGAATTTTTCGAATTCCAGCGAGGTGAACTGGGGTCCGTTGTCTGACACGATAACATCCGGGAGGCCGTGGGTTGCGAAAAGCTTGTTTAAGACCTTGGTTACCGCGTCTGTTGTGGTGGTCTTCATGTTGCTTACCTCCAGCCAGTTGGAGTAAGCATGCACCGTGATGAGGAATGTGTTCCCTTTTGTGGGCCCGGAAAAATCTATATGGAGTCTCGACCATGGCCCCCTGGGCGTTTCCCATTCTGATATTGGTGCTGCGGGGGGATTTGGTCTGGTTTCTTGGCAGCGCGAGCACTTGGCTACCCAGGCCTCGATCTCCTTGTCCATACCTGGCCACCAAGCGTAGCTTCTGGCCAAAGCTTTAGTCCTCACAATGCCCGGGTGCCCTTCGTGTAATAATTTTAATACTTTCCCTTGCAATTTTTCCGGTATGACCACCCTGTCCCCCCATAGCAAACAACCTTTTTGTAGTGACAGTTCTGTTTGCCGGTTTCGGAATGTCCTGAATGCTTCATCGTTGTCTTTCTCTGGCCATCCCTTTTCTACCCAATGTAATACCCGCGCCAGACGCCTGTCTTTATTAGTCTCTCGGGCAATGTCTGACGCAGTTATGGGTAGATCGGGCAATGTCTCTATGCTGAGGGTGGTCGTCGTGGGAGCTGGGTCGTCATCTAGGTCGGGAAGCGGCGAGCGGCTCAGCGCGTCTGCGTGGGAGATCGTCTTACCGGGTCTGTGTGTGAGCCGGTAGTCGTAGGCGGCGAGGAACTCGGACCACCTTGTCATCCTGGGGGATAGGATGTTCGGGGTGGCCTTGTTCCCCGCCAGGATGCCCAGCAGTGGCTTGTGGTCCGTGATGATGGTGAATCGGTGGCCGTAGAGGTACTCGTGGAACTTCTTTACCGCTGCGACGATGGCCAGTGCCTCCTTGTCTAACTGGCTGTAGTTTCTTTCGGGTTTGCTGAGTGTTCTCGAAAAGAAAGCGATGGGTGCTTCTTTTCCGTCCGGAAGTGTATGGCTGAGGACAGCGCCGACGCCAAAGGGTGAGGCGTCGCATGTGACGGCGATGGGTAGGGTCTCATTATACTGAATGAGGACGGCATCCGAGGTGAGCAGGTCTTTGGTGTTCTTGAATGCGGTGTCCTCCCGTTTCCCCCAGGTCCATTTGGCCGTCCTGTCCAGGAGCCTATGCAAAGGTTCCGCTGCGGTCGCCTTTTGGGGCAAGAACACATTGTAAAAATTTAGCAGTCCCAGAAATGCCTGCAGCTCTGTTTTGTTCTTGGGTGTGGGGGCTTCCTTTATGGCTTTGATTTTGCTTCCGGTTGGGTGGATGCCATGTCGGTCTAGGAGGTACCCCAGGAACTTGACTTGCTCTGTGCATAGCTGGCATTTCTCTTTCTTCACCTTTAGCCCGGCCCCTTTGAATTTTTCTAGTACCTCCCTTAGGCGACCCTCTAATTCCTCCTGGTTGGCTGCCGACACTAATACATCGTCAAAATAGGGGACCACCCCCTTGATTCCTCGCAGCAGCCTCTCCATGAGGCTCTGGAAAATTCCTGGGGCCACGCTGACTCCAAACTGGAGTCGGTTACAACGAAACGCTCCCCGGTGGGTGACTATTGTTTGCACCTCGGCGGTTTCTTCATCGACCGGCAGTTGCTGATAGGCTTGCGCCAGGTCGAGCTTCGCAAAGACCTTGCCCCCCCCCCAGCGAGTGTAATAGGTGTTGCACGACTGGGACGGGGTAGGCGCTTTGTTGCAGGGCGCAATTGAGGGTGGCCTTATAGTCCCCGCAGATCCTTACTGACCCATCTGGCTTGACTGGGGTGACTATAGGGGTCTCCCACCGGGCATGGTCGATTGGCTGCAAAAACCCCTGTTTGACGAGCTTGTCAATCTGCTCGTCTATTTTCTTCCGGAGTGCAAAAGGCACCCGTCTGGGTTTTAGGCGTATGGGGGCGACATTTGGGTCTAGGCTGAAGGAGATAGGGGGCCCTCGGTACTTGCCTAGGGTGCCGTCGAATACTTCTTGGAAATCCCTCGCCAGTTGCTGCTCCCAGTCGGCCTCTGTGGTGTGGTTTATTCCCGTGACCTCGATTCCGAGTGGTGCGAACCATTGGAGTCCTAGGAGGCTGGGTCGGTTCCGGTCCACGATAGTCAGGGGAAGCTTCGCGGTGCGGTTCTTGAAAGTCACCTCGAACTGTCCGGTCCCAATGACGGGGATGTGGTTCCCCTGATAGTCCTTGATGATCAGCTTCTGGTTCTCCAGTCCTCTTTTCTGGATGTTTGGCACCAGTCGCTTGAGTTCTTTCCAGGCGACCATGGAGAGGTAGGATCCGGAGTCTACCTCCATCCGGCATGGCTCGCCCTCGATGCTCACCTCCACGTAGACCTTCCGGGCATCAGTGGTTTCGGCATGGCCGATGGTGACCGTCTGGTGGGTTTCTTCTCTCTGGCGGCCTTCCCCGTTCCGTCGCCCTCGGTTGTCTCGGCTCCAGTGATTGTCGGCTTGGCGATCTCTGGTCCTCGGGGGGGTGTCGTCTCGTCCCCGGTTGCTTGGTTCTCGCCGGCGGGGGCTGTGTGTCTTTCTGAGTCGGCAGACTCAGGCGATGTGGCCCTTCTTGTTGCAATGCCGGCAGATCGCGTCGATGAACCGGCATTCAGATCGAAGGTGATTTACCCCGCACCCGGCGCACTGGTTCCCCGACTTACGACCCCGTTGATCTCGCCGGTCCCGTCCTGTCTGTAGCCGGTGGACGTCTTCCTCCTCGTCCGTGGTATCGGAGGCGGAGTCCAGGTCCCCGTGGTGTGTGGTGGTCTCTCGTCGGCTTGCCTCGGGGGTTTCAGTGCGGTCCCCGTTGTCTGCCCTCCGAAGTCTGGCTGCTGACTTCCGGGTGGCTTCGGCCGCGGAAGCTTCGGCCAGGGCGTCCCCGAGGTCGATGTTGCCTTTTGCCATTAGTCGACTTTTCAGTGCCTGATCCCTGAGGCCTAGGACCACGCAGTCTCGGAGGACATCGTCCAGGTCCCGGAACTCGCACATCCCCCCTAGGTCCCGCAGGGCGGCTATGAAGTCGCTGATGCTCTCGTCCTGCCGCTGGTTTTGCCGATAGAACTCATCCCGCCGGATGAGGATGGGCACAGCGGGGGCGTAGTGGTTCCGAAGGAGTGGCTCGAGATCGGCCCAGTCCATCGCCTTCACATCCTCGGGCTTCGCGAGGGCTTTGGCCATCTTAAACACTGCGGGCCCGCAGTGTGTGAGGAAAACGGCCCTTTTCTTCTGCCCGTTCGCATCCTTCAAATTGCTACTTTCGAGGAACATTAGGAATCTATCCGTGTACGATTCCCAGTCCTCGGTAGCCGGGTTGAAGGGTGCTGGTGGGGTCATGCTGGCCATCTTGTCGGTCTTTGTCTTCCTCGGGACACGTGCTCGGTGGTTATTCTCTGTATCCCACCTTTGTCGCCAGTGTCGTGTCCGTCGCGGGAAGGAAGCTCGGAGTCAGTGACTTGGTTTCAGCTCTTTATTGGGCTCCGGTTACAGCTTAAGCTTGGAGGGAAAAACTGCGGCTTTTTATTTCTGAGCCGCGGCGGCCGCGGCCAATGGCACCGCTTCGAATCTCCCGCGATTAGTTTCCACCAATCGCGGGGGATTCGTAACGGGCCAATCAGTGCGGCTCGCTCAACCAATCCGGTCGCCCCGCGCTTTAGCCAATCGCGACGCGGGGCTACGAGTATGTAAATTGACTGTACAGAACATATAGTATATATAAAGATTCAACCACAGCCTATAATGAAGAAACATCAAAATCCCGAGTCTCAAACACGTACAGTATGTTATCACTGTTGCATGTGATAATATAATAACATACTAAGCATTATATACAAAATAGTCTAAGAGCAAGCACCATATCTCAAAATCAATTTTGAAAAAAAAAATGTTGTTTCTCAGTCATCTTCTACTCAAACTCAATTTTACAAGCTTGGGAAATTTAAAAAAAGCAGGGCAACAAATTATATGATGTCATTCATCTGTCCTACTATTGAACTGTAAAAAAACCCCTCAAGTTACAACAAATAGATTAATGCATCATTAATATGAAACATTGTTCGCATATTAAATTAAAATGTGTGTGAAAAAAAAGTATAACCAGTAATATTACATGGGACAGGAACAACAGAAGATATTTTCTGAGAGCAGATGATCATTGCAATAACATCAGCCATCTCTCCCATTGACAAAAGAGTGGCTAAACGTCATAACACTAACACACAAGTGGGAAAAAAAGATATAAGGTTTGAAATTTGGATTTGTTATATTTAAACGAAGGGTGCTAGTTTTATTTGTATTAATGGGTTTTTTTTTTAAAAAAATAGCAAACTAAAAACTTGTTAAGAACTATATCCAGGAAACCCAACTGTGAGTCTTCAGCTGCAAGTATCACTTTGGGAGAAGACTGATTACTATTCAAAAAATAAGTGAAGTCATGTTCAAATAGCTTGCTAACCTTTATGGATTCCCCATGTGGTGACATCACTTCATTGGACAGATCCATCATTTTAAGTGCCATTAGTGCAATCTGAATCGCATGGGTTTCATTTTCTTTATGCAAGCCTCCAGCTACACAATATGCATCTCCAATGGTTTCTACCTAAACATTAAAATGAACAATTTATAAGATGAAAAATTAAAAAAGGAAACCTAAAATGAAGTTTGAAATGCTTTTGTCAACCATGTTTTTCCCCAAACCACCCATTATTTTAGTCAACATACATAGTTCTGTTAAGCAATCTATCAACTGCTAAATATTTTTGCATAGCAAAGTCGGATTCATTTTTGGCAATTCTTTATTATAATAAAAATGTTATGTCAACATATTTACCCTGAATTCTACTTCTTTGAGGCACTATCAGCTATCCCAAAGCACTTTCTCATAAATAGTGTCATTGAAGTCAATGTCTTTCAAGGTAAATGTAGTAAAGATTGCAGTCTAAAGCATATATCGGTAATTTCCCATTTTACAGCTAAAATATCAACTTGTAAGTTACCGTACATTATGCTTCCTACTTGATTACACTTACAGTTTAGCTGCAAATAAACATACTCCGTTATATATGTTTAAAAACCTGTTATAATTTTGAATCAAAACAGTTCTTCGTATCCATTCACTTCTTTTGCAATTATTTCTCTTGGGAAAACCATTCTTTACCTTGTAGATATCCAGTTCTCCACACTGATAATCAAAGCGAGTGTAAAGCTCATTAAGCATGGTGATAACCTGCATGGCTGAACACTGAGAACAGATTGCAGTGAATCCTACAATGTCAGAAAAAAGCATTGTGACATTATTAAATTTCTTGGCCTGCACAACTTGTCCTTGCCATAGCTGCTGCGCAACTTCCTCGGGGAAAATAGAGCACAAAAGATCAACTGTCTTTTTTTTCTCTTCTTCAAGAGCTTGATGAGCTTTTTCAAGAGTTGCTTTAAGCTTCCCTAATCTTTTCTTCAATCCATCTTGAGCTCTGGCTTGTTCACCTATTAAAACGACATCCCTAAGTGCATTATGAATTGGAATATCAGAAAGATATAAGCCACGTCCTGTAAAATCTTCCAGTCTGTCCACACAAGGAGATCCCAAGAATAAAATGGCATTAGACTCAATAATGTAAATCATTTGTCCTTTAAGATCCATAACCTAAGCCAAGAGAGAGAAAAATGAAGCAGTGAGAGAATTCTGAAGCTCCTTAACATGTACAAAGATAACAAAAATAAACTTATTTACTGTGGTATCTATCCACATTCCAGGCAAACGATTATGCATTTAATAGATTTTGATTTTCTGATGCCTATATTCTACCTTCTTTATCTTCTGATAAAGTTAGTTATAAATGTGTACGTTTTTCAAAGTATCTCTAGACTTTTGCAATTTTCATCAAGATGAATATCATCTATTAATCTGAAGACCTAACCAATGTTTTGCACAAATGCATGCAAGAGCATCTCCCACTTTTGAAAAATCTATTGTACTGACTGAAAATGAACATGCATAGAGGAAAGATACAGATTTCAATATTTAACATGTGTCTCTCCTTCATAAATTCACAGTGAAGTGTATTAAATGAAAACCTTAAAAAGTGGAGTGGATCATTTACACAAATCAATGATAGGCTGGGTTCATTCATCATGATTAGTCATAATCAGACCTGTTTTATGGACCATGACACTGTAGGCTATGAATTATGGTTGGTGGCTTATTTATCCGAACAAAGATAATTAAGCAAACTGTAGCTCACCACAGTACATACAAGTTGAATCATAGTCTCATATTTAATTAAAGAAAAATGGATTTAAGGAAGAAATGAAGAAAAAAGATACATCCAATTCTTACCCCTGTTGACTTTTTAAGAACTTTGTCTCCTCGTCTCACTCTTATAGTAAACTGCATGTTCAGCATTGTCATGATCCCACTAAATGTGCAATTTATTTTAGGAGCTAAAATTTCAAACCACTCATCAAACTGTGGCTTTGCTTGAAATTCTCTTTTGTTTAATAATCTCCTGATGCCATTGCCAACTTGCAAAATATCCATGGCCTTGTCAAACATGCAATGGAAAGGAAAGGTCTTACAGAACATAGAAGTAGGAATGACAAGAGAAGATTGGGGTTTACAAGGTGATAATGATGGCTTTGTGCTTTTGATGTTCACAGAATATAACAAATAAGGTTGATCAATAAACTCGGAACTGTCTTTGCAGAAGCTAGGTGGCATTACCATTACTTCCACCTCCATGTCATACAAAATGAGAGCTGCTGCCTTAATAATGCCAGACAGGATGAGGGTAGTTGGTTTTTTGGGAGAAAAATAGTATACATTTAAAAAATTGGGATCTTTTTCCAAGCACAAAATTGAGACTTCTTCAACTCTGCCCATTTTTCCAGCTTCTTGGCAATGAGAGCTCTGCTTCAGAAGAGTACTGAAACTGTTTAAAAAGTCTTTCAGACTCCCCCCAACAACTCCAAGGATGTGTTCATCTTCTTCATAACATATTTTGAACAACTCTTCGCCAAGTGATTCTCTTATAACAGTGACTGGAATTCCTGCCGGCAATAAAACATTTTGATTACCGATATTGTTCTAAATACAATCTTTAAATTCCCCCAGTCAACGTACTTTTGATTTTCAAAGTACATTCACCTTTCATTTCCTTTACCTAACCCTGTTTTCTATTACTAAACATTTCAGATAAATAACTATTTTACATCATTTTCTGAAATCAGTTTTTCTCTCCTGAGACCTTATATGGTTGAAGCAAAGTATTATTTTTCTTCTTGCTCTTTTATTTTATTTTTTTGTAAAAATCTGGTGAGCAGTTATTATTGGCTGTTGCAAGAGAAATGTAACCACCAACTAGGCACATACCACAAACTTTGGGGTGCAATTGCTCTTATTAAAAATTACTATTGGTGCAAGTGGCAAATGTAAAATGGGTCACAGGTGGATCTTTAACCCTTTTTTAAATTTAATCTGCTCATAGCCATTTGGCCTTCTGAAATGAAAAGGACAGAAATGCAATGAATTAAATGAAAAATCTAAGGATAAGAAAAAAAAAAACTCTGATTGCTGCTTTTTTCCTACTAATCAAGGGAACAGATTCTACAGATTTGGAGTTCTGTCTTTACAGCTTAACATTTAGTTTGAATTTGAGATTATCTGAGATAACGTTTAATTTGATGTTTTTCACAGAGAGACACCATTAGAGGAGATCTGCATTCTAATCTTTTATTCAGGGAGCTGTGAATAACATGTGAATAACAAAAAAGAAGAGCATAAAAATGGAGTATAAATATCTTACATACATACACACACATATACATACACATATAGTTAGCATTGTCGACAATTTCACGCCATGCTATCAGAGTATAAGGGATATAAATTCAATATTGTTGATTATCTGTCTGTTCAGCTGCATGTTTTCCTTTTGACAGTAAGACATTAAAGAAGACTCTATGTCATTAGTAGTCTTGGTGGAACTCGGGTTATTGGGGATGCTAAATAAACTGATTCTAGTGTTAGTACTTGCTATTCATAAATACATATTTACCAGCCAGATTTGCATTATCAGTGAGTAGCTTCTCAAAATCTTTTTCCTCACACTGTCTGTAAAGGAAGAAAATACAAATTTAAAACTACAATTGTCTAGTAAAGACAAAATAAAATTTAAATATACACACTTAATAAAACAATAAGTAATGTATAGTATAATCCTCATTCTTAGTCTGGTTTTCCATTTATCACAAATTAAATGATGATCACTCTAAACATATATCCAGTGGTGGGATTCA